ATGCGATAGATTTATCTGTCCGGGGTAACCGTTTTTCATTTATTAAAAACGGATTTATGTGCAAGAATAAAGATCCCGTATAAATATCATTAACTTGATTCAGTCATGCTTCAGCCACGTTTTTCATATAGTCCTGGCAGATATACACAGTGTAATAGAAGGCACAACACATTATGATTTGCTAACTGGTTTTGTGCACGTGTTGGTATTTATTTGGTATGAACATGGGGTGTCTTTCTTGGATCTAAAGTAAGTTACGTTGATGGGATTCCACGTTTTGACTGTGCTTCGAAAACATGCTGCTGTTGATCTGAAAGAAGTTCTTCTATTTGTATGTATTTGTACATGGTTCGTCAACATTAGACGTCATTTTGCTGACGGTTACGATTTAATAACCGTGTTCATATTCGAATGGTCGAAGAAGCTTCACCGCACGATAAAAAAAACCCAGAGAAGCTACTAGACCCGCATCAAGTCTTATTTTTTTTAAACGCAAAAATTAAGAAAAAATAAATGCATTAAAATAGCCAAACGCGAAACAATGGAAAGATCGCGAAAAATGCATTATTTCGTATTTTATACATTTTCATGTTTTTTGTTATATTCGAAAACACAATAAGACCCTTAAGCAAAACTAGGAAGCTACCTGCAGTGATGATTGTATTCATGACGTCACTAAAATATCACAACGTGGTCTAGCACAGGACAAACCAGCTTCGAAAGAAGAAAGATTGGAAGATCCGTATTATTCGTATGTAATTTATACCATGGAAGTTGACGTTGATTTTGAAAATGCCGAAATGAACGCACAAAAAGATCGAATAGAAAGAGTATATTGAAATGATACGGATATCTGAAAGGTTAAAGCGGGAGGGTCGTCACCTGCGCACGCGCGGGAATTGAGTCCCAAACGACGATAACAACACACGCTAAAACAATGTAAACAATGACATGCTGTGGCCACTTGACGCATGCGCAGGTAACGACTCTCCCGCTTTAATGCCAAGTGTCCAAGTTGAAAAATAGAAACACATTTGTAAAGATTGTTATCAACGAAGTACAGACCACCACAGACGGAACTGTCCCGACACTGATGAGCAGTCCAGTGCGGTGAACAACTTGAAGATTCCCAAAGAGAGAAACAATATATAACTTATGGGATAGATCA